TATTGACCACGAAGGACAGGTAGGACTTTTGACGTCTCACACCAACACCAGTAATCCGCAGCAAGCAGCCACACTGTCTCCACGCAAGAGGAAATAATAACACGACGTCGTCCACAATATAACGATTAAAGGTATGGCCGTTTTCTTCCTATATGGCGCTAGGCCTGCGTGGACTTTGTTTTATGACTGTTTGACGCTTAAAAATAAAATTAAATAATCACTGTGCATTTCGACAGACAAGACTAACTTGCAGAAACACGATGGATATTGTGCATTTTTTAAAAAAGAAAAGAAATATTGTTTTCTGTAAAGTAGAAGGCGCACGGCGGCGATAAGGTGTAGAGAAAAATATGTAGTTTGGCTTAATTTATTTCAGCTACTGATATTTTTAGAACATTTTAACAAAGGTTTGAATTCTGCTAAAGCTGTGTAGTAGTGTATTTAATGTCTTAGCAGGGATCTGCCACATAATATGACTAATCTCAGCCAAAAATAATAATCTAATAGGTTTAGCAGAATATGAAAATCATTTTTAAGGTTAATTTGTAAAGAGATTGTTTGGTTCTGAAATTAGTGGAACATATGTTATACATACACATGCTTATTGTTTTTTTTAAGGATTTTTAAAAAAATATTTGAATGCATAAATACAGAATTATCCAAATGCGCAAATTGCACATCATCTTATGCGCAAATATAGAACCAATTCTGCGCTACAATATACTGTTCCTCTAAAGGTTAATGTATTTCCTCATTGAAGTTGTAAGTTGTCACAATAATTAGAGAGCCTGCGCTCCGGATTAACATTTACTATGACGAAAACAGCAAAACACACAATATGAACTCAACTCAAAAAAAGTGATAGCATCTTTTCAAATTAAAAGAAACAAACTAAAAGCCTGTGGATACTTTACACCTCTATCAGCCACTGATTTTTTTATTTTTATTTCGAAAATGCAGAAAATGTTGCCCAGTTTTGGGTTGTGTGGAGGCGTCAGAGACTGCAGGCCGCTGTCTGCCAGAGACATGAGAAAGGGGGCTGATAACCTCTGGTGGTGACCAGAGGAAAATATCAGGAAGTGCTGCAACTGTGTCTAATTTATGGTTATTTTAGCTCTGCAACTTGTCTTTCTTTCTTGCACTGCCCTGATTTTAGCTCAGTGTTGTCTCGTTTTTTTCAGCGCGTTCGATAATATTGTAGGAATATGGAGTTGATAGTTTCTTTGGGGTCATTTTGTTGGAAAACTTTTCTGTTAAAGTTGAAGGCCTGCCAGTGGTGCTACAGAACATAGAGGGTACCGCAAAAGCCACGCATTTCCGAGCTGCCTTAGTTTTTATTTTGATATGGATGTATTGTTTATGCAATGTTTTATATTAATCCAATCAATGCATAGTTTTGTGATTTATTAGGTCTATTGTCGGAGTGTGTCCGGTCATCTGGAAATCACATGTCGGAGCAGTGTAGGCAATAAGACAACAAAGACGATCAGTGTTTTGACTTTCAGTGGTTTTACTTATTTATTTGTCAACGTCTCTGCACATATGTCTGTGAGAAAACATTCGACACATTTCAAAGTTCTGGTGTTTGAAAAGTAGCGCTCTGTTAAATCGTTTCAGAGCTGAATTCCATCTGACTGACTGCATGAGCCAAGTCTGGTTTGACAATTCATAATTTACTGATCGTGAACGCAGTCTTGTAGATGAGCAGTTGCAGTTGATTTTTTTTATTTTATTTTTTTTTGGATTGCATGTTACACTACACACACACACACACACACACGCACGCACACACACAAAAGTTGTGCAGTAAGAAATTTAAAATTATATAAATATTCAACAAATAAAATGTGATTATTTCCAATTGAACAAATATATGGTGTCAATTTATTGCGTGACAACTTTACGCACACTGACGGTCAAGTTCAAATATTTGTATCCATAGGATGACGTAAACGCCTTCCGCAAACGCTGGTTTGCGTCTTTAATTTGCACATTTCTACACAACACTGATGTAATTTGAGTTTTAATTGTTTCTTAGATTTTTACTACTTTGAACTGGGGGGATATTTTGTTAGATTATTCTACATCCCAGGTGGATATGGACTATTCCTAAAAGTTAAACAAGCGCATACATATTTTATTCTGGGCTCAGTCAGTGTGGGGTGTTGTTAATTGTTTATGCAAAGTTGCACGAAAATATCGTCTGTTGTTGTAAACAAATGAAAAAAAAATCTGCCAAAACCTTTCAACTAAATCGTTACCACCTTTGCGGGTTCTTGAGATTTCCCTTGGTAGTTGGTTTCCCTTGAAGGAAGCTTTAAAGGGGTTGCACAAGGCTATAACTGTGGCAACCTGCCTGCAGAGAATCAAAGAGAGAAAAGGGAAGAAAAGCCCTTTGTTTAGGCTATTGCCCTGTCTGGACAGGACCAGTGGATTCCAGGAGGCTAATTTCAATATCGAGCAGACAGTGTACTAGACAGTGACCTTGACAGTGCTATCTGCTCGGTTTATCAAGTTGGGTTTTTTTTTTGCCAGCAGATTTTGGTTTTGCTAAAGCACGGGGCCCTTTGCTCACGCGAAGATATGACATCATCGCTGAGCTAAAGATGCACTGAACAGACGAGCAGTTGTTTGAATGTGAAATCCGGATTTGTGGCAGCCAGGGATCGGAGGCGTGGAGAGACGAGGAAAGGAGGCGCAACACATGGCCTCTTTCTCGGAGGTAAAGTGGCGACTTCAGCCTGCACATTACTCCCTGCGGATGGCCGTACGGGCCATTTTGTTGTGAATATCACACTGCACTGTTTTGCTTTTGCTAACTGTTAAGCTGCAATAACACGAGACGCTGTGAAATGATAGCAACACACCCAAATGCTCCACATAAGACCGAGGCCTAAGATATTATTTTGCATTGATGTTGTGCTGCATTGCGAGACTCACTAACTAGATGCAAGAATGTGCAGTGATAGGAGAGGCATTAAGTCCAGGGGACAAGATGAAACCCCAACGGATCCCTCAGAGCTTCTCCAGTTTAAACATTTGATATTTTTTCTTTCTATTTAGAGCTAGAGCAAGGCCCGGTGCCTTTGGGTTAGACAGGATACATGGTCACAAGTGACGGATACAGCTATCAAATATCGGCTGACTTGCAACTCGTTCCCAAACCAGTGTTTAAATGAATGCTAATGTCTCACATAACACTTCATTGGCAAATTTGTAGCACGCAACTAGCACCGTTCAGCACGCATGTGCAAGCTCCTATATCCCTGCAGATTTTTCTTAATCCTTTAATTCATTTACTGCTATAAATTAATAGAACTGATCTGTTTTAATCCCTATTTGACTATTAGGAATGCTTTTCCCCTCCAGCGGGATGTGTAAATGAAAATAATAGATTGTTTTGTAAACCCGGCGCATTTTCAAATATATTCACTTTTTTTCCCTGAAAAAGGACTGTGAGCCCTCACTACGGGCTGCCGCAGCCTAGAATGCTGTTATATCTTTAAAATGTACTGGTTCTATTTTCTTGTACTTTTTGTATTTTATTTAAATGGAGTATTTGAGTTCAACATCAAGTTCAACTCACCGTGACTGTGCGTCTGAACTTGAGTGGATTGACGGCAACGTATGCGTGTGCGTGCGTGTCTTTTATAAATCAAACTATTTGTCATTGATGCAGTCAGGCTTTTTCTTTTTTTTTAAACTACCATATATGAGACATGTAGAGATCCCAGCTGTTGGGTTTTGAAAACTTTTGACAACATAAATTGATTTTGTCTTCCTGAGTCGAGAGTGCGGTGGTAATAATTTAATGTGAATGCATGAAATATGAAATGTTGCAGCACTGATATAATATAGAATATTTAAAAAAAGAAAATACTCTTTTTTAAAAAATGATATTGGATCTCTGGGTCCGGGAAAGAACAACAAAAGCCATAGGTCAGTCATGATGTGTGCCAGGATGTCCTGATGACCAAACGCCACATTAAAAATTGTTGAACCAGCTGTTTGCAGAATGCCTGGACGATGTGGTGTAATTTTCGTGCAGAGAAACTGCACTGCAGTTTAAATGTCAGAAAAGTTTAAGTTTTTTTAATTTTTTTATCTGAAAACAGAGGGCTTTCTGTCTGAACGCATGATATCACGCCCTGTCACTTATTTGTTCAGTCCCTTCACAACTGCATCTACAAATCAACTAATTAGCGAGATATAAAGCATAGAGGGAGACTCTCGGCTGATTGAATCAGTTAAGTGCCCTCTGATATCTTGTAAAATTCATATAAAAGAATTGTGAGAGGTATAACAATCCCACCAGAGTTTGGCTGCGAACGTTTATTGGAGGTATCTGTTAAAGTTGTTCATGTGAGGTGTACTAGAGAATATTATGTGAAATATACCCTCTTAAAGTAACCTTGTAGAATATCGTCCTCTTTTACAGAGCCAGTGGCTTCAACCTGCTGACCCCGTTACTGTAAATATGAGTAGAGTGCGGCAATGAGCATCAGTCTTTTCTTAAAACAAGCTTGTAAAATTGGAACATCACAGCTTTATATGACACGGAATTCAACCATAATTTGCTCGAAAACAAGGTGTCATGTGCACCTTCTCCTTCAAGAAAAATAGTTTTCATAAGAAATAGCATTTTAAAAAAACTTTTGCCAGCTTATAAAGATATTAAACGAGGCCATGGACAGTTCCACGAGTGTAAAAGGAGAAGCAGCCTGGGCTCCTTTTGGACTCAGCGTGGCTCAAGTGGAGAAAAACAAGATTCTACATTTTTAATAAAAGGTTTATGGTATTTTTAAAAAGCATATAAACCTCTGTAATACAGAAGTTAATGTTTTGTTTTGTCTGAGATGGACCAAGTGGGTGGTACCATGTGTAGCAGAAGTTAGCCTGGACACGTGGTTCGAGGATGACCAATCAGGCGCCCCTCCAGGTTTAACTATGTTAAATGTCAGATTGCAATAAACTAGAAGCTGTTGGTCGGGCCCGCGGAAATGGGCGAGCATAATCTCCTTAATCCAGGGTTTGTGGGACCTTTGGTAAACATCCACACTGGAGACACATTTTACTTTCCGAATTTTAGAGCCTCAGGGGGACAACTGGCGGGGCTACCGTCTCTCTCCTACCCGAGAAGGGACAATGTTTGCTCCCTCCCGTGGAATCCTTCGGAGCCGTGCAATGGATACTCTCAATCCTACTTTAGCAGCCCCGTGTCTATTAACCCTTCCTTCAATCGGTCGTGTGAAATTACCAGACCAGAAGACGGTAAATGTTATTACAACAACGGCAACGGGAACAGGGAGACCTGTTCAGGTGGCAGCAGCCTCAAACGAGAGGATAGGGCGAGAGACACATCATCCCTAACATCTGACCACGGGATGCACAGTGGAATTGGCAGCAGTGCCGCCTTTTCCAAATATGATTATGGGACCGAGCAGCTAACGCAAGACCCGCCATCCTGTCAGTCAATGGAGTCCGACTCCAGCTCCTCTCTGCTCAACGAGGGCAGCAAGCCTTCATCCAGCGACACACAGACCCTGGTGTCACCGGGAAGCCATTCAAGCAACATAGCCGCAGGCGGAGGTCGGTGCTATTTTGTTTTTGTTTTTTAATCACAATAATTATCAAGGCACGTTCACATTATTTATCAGAAAGCTGCATGCAGCGTGCATTTGCGGTATTAAACCGTCATTAGAGCTCGTTATGTTGATGCACAACTTGCAGGCTTTAGCCTGCAGGGTACTTGCGTGGTGTACAAACGCCGCTAGGGGTTGCCCTAAAATACTCCATGCACCATGTGGCAGTGTACAGTTACAGATAACCTCACCAGACCATATTGCCTACAACAAACAGTCAATTGTGTCATCGCATTTCCATAGATGAGGCTCTGTTATCCAGGCACGTAAATGCTTGATTTTGCTCCATTGTTGCACTCTGTACACACAAATTAGTGCAGTGATTTAAAGAGGTGAGTCGCTTTGGTTGACTGCATCGAACAGAGAGAGTTTTCTTTTTAATGACTCGTAAACAGAATTAATATCTGTCGCTGTGGACTCAAGAGTCATTTAATATGCTCTGAAACTCGCAAATAAGTAGGGGTATTTGCAAGCACGGCTTAATTATCACGTTAATGCAGCTTTAACTGCAACAATAAAACTTCATGTGACACAAACCGCGGTATAGTGGTGGTCTCCATAAAGAAGGTTGAAAAATAGAAAAATTAACATGTTTTGTCAAAATTTGCACCAAATCGGAGTGCAGTAGCAGTCTGGATTGTCCAGATATTGGATCTGAGATCAGACATGTCCAGTCAGACAGCAAAACAAATCCAGTTTGGCTGTTTGTGGAGGAAGTGACAGCTTCCATGGGCGTCAGTTATGTCAGTCTAATATAAAGCAGAAACCCTACATCAGATATGTTTTCAAACTTAATTAATCTTGTTTAGTTTACTGGAATAATGTCGATATTTCTACGCCCGCAGACATCTTTAGAAAGACGACATGTCTTACTGTTAGAATGTTTTCTGTTCTAGATAGAATTACTCTCCAGTATATTGTTAAAGTGGATGTTAAATTGACTTAGTCTTGTAATGCAATTACCCCAACTTGCCATGGACGTCTGATGCCCCTGTGGGTTCACCATAACCTTGGAGGTGACCGTGATTTTGCAACTGTGGTGACTGATCCGTTGTGTGCCCCCTCCTCCTCCTCCCTCTCCTCCAGGTGCCCCGTGGTACCCAATGCACACTCGGACCAGAAAGAAGCGCAAACCTTATTCCAAACTTCAGCTGGCTGAGCTAGAAGGTGAATTCATGCTGAATGAGTTCATCACCAGGCAGCGGCGGAGGGAGCTCTCCGATCGTCTGAACCTCAGCGACCAACAAGTCAAGATCTGGTTCCAGAACCGCAGGATGAAGAAGAAGAGACTCATGCTGAGGGAGCAAGCTTTGGCCTACTTTTAGAGATGCGGCAGAAGGTGAATCAATAGGCAGTAAAAGCCAAGCCTTCTACGCTCCCTTAGGTCTTCTTTCAATGCATGCACTCATATATCCATCTTTTACATTGCGGGCAATTTTTACATATTTTTTTCCTCAATGGTGCGGGCTGCAAAAGCCCAAAACAAGCCACTTTCTGTCATCCAAAGCTGCACTCTATATGTCAGTGAGCCTCCATGTTTGGCATAATCGCACAAAAAGCTGTGAGAATGTGTTTTCTGTGTAGGTTGGTTTTTCTGATCTGTTAACAGATTGTACGCCATAATTGTGTAGGTCACGCGAAACCTGTCTCCCAAAAAATATCTTTTTGGGATGACACATAGTGACAACGGTCTTTTTATTATTTTTTTTAGTCAGAAAAAAATAAGTCGGGAGCGGGTTCACTTGGTAAATTCCTAAATAGGGTTTAAAAAACAATAATAAGAGAAGTCTGATAGAGAAGCTTGGAGCGCATCCGCGCGACATTTTCTCTGAAGTTCTGAACTGATAAAAAACAATCTCCCTCTCAGTTGCTTTAACTTCCACAGCTATTATTTGTTGCGTTCAAGGAGCATCATCTTTGTCTCATTTCTGTAGTTTTCGCCAAGTTTGTGAGCACGTTCACGGTCACGGGCAGGAGATGTGGAAGTCTGGAGTCTGCATGAGGAGAGGCAGGACTAAGACCGCAATGTAATCTATATGATATCTTTATGACTGCGCATTGAAAAATTAACTGACATGACTGTCCATGTGCGAACAAGTTTCTAAAGGTATTTTGCGTTACTTTTATTACCTTTCAACTTGTCTTAACAACAACCACTGAATCCTGCATGGGTTTCATTTCTTTCGTTGAGTGAGATCACCGTTTGAAAACGGCTTTGAGCTGCTATTAAAAAGTCCACGTCCAGACTGTGCCAGTGAAAAAAGAAACAGTGTAATCTACAATAAACAAGGATCACAAGGATCTGTAATGGAAAGACTCCACAGTATAACTACATTAGTATATCTATAACAACTACTCAGTTAAAAAAGGGAACCACCTAAAACAGGAGGGGGATGCGTTCTCTGAGGCCTGAAAGAGCATTTCTGAAACTTGGTGCTCATTATAAAAATAAATATGTAGAAATTTAGAGAATTTAATTATAGGCCTACGTGTGTGCCCCCTTAATTCGGGGCGAATGCAGTGCATTATCTGTCATGTATAATGAGTAAGCTATAGCAGTGAAATGTTTGCAGCATGTTATTGATGTGAAATAGCTATAAGTCATGTTCTGCGGGCCACTTTTTCTGTAGGTGACTTTTTATACTTTTTTTCTGAACAAATCAAAAGTCAACAACCTAAAACATTTTGACACAGGCGTCTAGAAAGAATGTATTATTATTATTAATATTATTATTATGATTATTAATATTATTATTATTAGGGTGGAAGGACGGAAGGCCTGTTAGGCCTACTTAATGTACTTGCTCTCTTGCAATGTGCTCAGTGTTGTCCCTTTCCCTACCTTGTACTCGTGTATAACTTTGTAAAATGAAATTACATATGTTAGTATTTGCATCCTATTTGAGGAGCCCTTATCGCTATGTAATAGTGCTTTATGTTATTGATCGTCTTGTACAATATCGCATTCCATATATCCGATTTGTGGTTCTAAGGGTTGGGAATGTAGGCCAAAACTATATACTGCCAAGGATGGGTATAAGAAATGGTATGTAATTTTTTTTTATTTTATTTTATTTTACCATTCATGACATTTAAAGAAACCCTGTTTCAGTGTAGTAGTTGTTTATCGTTCTTTTATGTCGCCCCCCATTGCATTCCTTTCTTTGCGCTTATAAGGATTGCTACGTTGTCTTGTAAAAGTAATAATGATATGAATGTATATGCGTAAGGTCTTCAATAAACAGAATATTGAAACGTTTATTGGTGTTACCTCAGTCTGTTATTAGGGCTTGCGTCTTTGAGTGTTCTCATTCAAAATAAGGCTTTCTGAGTGCTGACTGGTGGGATTACTTTAATAGCCGTGACCTGTAACACTTTTTAAAAATACATGTGTCCACCACAGTGAAATAAAGATCTGAACATTAATGGGACATTTGGAAGCATTTGAGAGGGTGTTTTGTTGGCACATAATTGTACATGCTGTGAAATCTAAGCAAAAGAAGCCCACACAAGCTGGCCTCGTTTTATTATGGCCGCCACAGATACAAAGGTAAAGGCTATAGGTAGCTGTGATAGCTCACCATGCAAAATGGCGGCCAGGTGCATATTCTCAACCCCATCTTGCACAGAATATGATTCTATAGGACTCACCACAATTATACGACTACTGCATTAGTCTTAAGTAAAAATCCCCTTTCGCTTTCCCCCCCCATGCAGCCTCAGTGGCTTCCCTTGAAGTTCGACCTAATCAATGTCACCGGTATGCTACAAGCCTATAACGGCGCAGCTAAACACGCAATAGCTCTGTAAAGCAGTAATAGGGTTACACCCCAGTGCTCCATATAGGCGAGCCTTTTTGGACTGCCTTTTCCCTGTGCATCCTATCTTCTGGTTCGCATTAGGGATTCAAACGGGCCACAATTACACATCAAAACACGGTTTATGAATACAAACACGAATATCAGATAAACACTCTTTCTCAAATGTCATTCAAACTGCACAGTAGATTTTTTTTTTAAAACATATATATATAATTTCTGAAATCCACAAGGCTCTCCCTACTGGCAATGAAGTGTAAAGCAATACAGGGCTGTGCAGTGTTTTCCTACCAGCTAATTAACCAAGCGTTAGTGCGTTTCTCTTCAGCAGCTTCCAGTCTCAGTGTGGTGAAGCATGTTCACTGGAAACCGTTGTGCTGTCTCAATGTTGAGATCAGATGTTGCCTTTTCAGTGAACTGTGAACAGCCATTCCTGCAACCAACTCAGTGAATGACATTCCTGCCTTAGTGTGTTGCACTGTGATCACAACGCATGCATACAGAAATGTAAGATGACGTTGGCTATTAATTAATGCGGCCCTCTTGCGTTTATCATTTAAGATGCACGATTCAGTGTATTTATGACAGGACATGTTTGCAGTTGATAAGAGCTTTGCTGCAGTGCACTGCTCTTATAGTAGCTAAATTGCATGGCTGTTTCTGCACAAGCCTCTGATTTGTGCCTGCTCACGACACCCAACCACCCTCCTCGGTTTGGCTGACAATACCTGTAAACATAACAAATACCATTCTTGTGTATCCATCAACGTAACGTATGATTATTATTTTTTTGCTTTGTACTGGGAGTACATGTGTGAGCAGAATATAATAACTGTAAGGATCTCAGTGACAATAGAGGGCCGACTGGACGCGCTGCTACCCAATCGGGCACAAAGCCTTAATTAGCTGATATCACAAACAATATAACTGTAAATACTGGTTTCCAAAATCGACTAGGTAAACTCATAGTGTAATCTTCTCAAATGGATTTTGAGATTCAGTACACAAACTGTAAAATAAATGAATGGCACACGTCGGCTTTGTGTTTTGAAAAGAAATGCTCTCCCAGTGCCTTTACGCATCTGATTAAAACGTGATTTGAAAAATAATTTCAGTTCAAAGATTTCCCTTTTTAAAAACATGGATATAAGATAACATAATAGCAACTGAATTTGAATTATTTTCGTAGCATAATAAAAGAAATGCAAGCGTGATGTTTTCATATGTTCCCTTTTACGCACCGACGACAACATTTATATGTCCGTGTATGTTTTAATGAAGGGAACACACAGCACATCACAAAATACCGCCAGTCTGACGCAAAGTGTAACCGGTTAAGGGTGTCAAGTATTTGTTGCAATATAACATTAACTTAGACTATGAAATAATACTAGGAGATCTTAAATTGCGTTTATTGAATTTGATCATCGAGAGGACATCATTCATAACAACTCCAGTCTTTGCAGGCCATCAAACGCGCTGTTGACCATGAAAGGGGATAAACTTATGTTTGTGTGTTGCCTTGTTAAATTGGTTAGAGGATAATAACGTATGCAAAATGCACCAGTACGGTCCTTACTTCGCTGCATTACCTCTGCTGTTATTCGTAAACAAATCTTCAAGGTCAGCTGTGTTAGAAAAGCCCTTCCATGATGCCCTGATACAATTTAAATACCCTCAATTGTGGAAACTTAGGCTCCAGTGGTAGCTGTGCTTTTGGGCTTGTAAAATGGGTGAAACAATCTGGCAAGACAATAGATTAAAAAAAAAAAGAACACTCACGCAAGATTCATGGTTTATCTCGAACTAATCAGTCAGCAGTGGAACGTGAAAATTTCACAGCAGCGAGAATTTTCACAATTCGTTCAACCAAATGCATTCTCAATGAGCAAATAATGAACATCAAGACGCTTTTAAGTGTTGCGTTTGCTTCCATGATTAAATGGTAGCAGACACTGGTTTGTATTCGTCGGCAAGTGAGGTGAATCTGTGTGTATGATTTAGGCCTAATAACACAGCAGTCTGGTCTTTGAACTGCGCCCAACGACCAGCTGAACGTATAATTTTAACTTGAACTTCAAACCAGACTTATCTGTTGATGTAATGTATGACTTTTTTTGTGCAGCCCATTTATTCGGGCATTTCTATCTTTTGTTGTGCTTCTCCTTTTGTTGTGCTGGAGACGTTTTTCAGCCCCAAACAAGCCACAAAACAGCACGCCTTTACCTGACGTCCCTTCTCCTCCGAAGCTAAAAATGATCCCTGCTAATATTAGTTTGCCCTTATTTGTCCTGTCCGCGTTCTAATTTAGTAAAATTCACATTGTGCGGGATTAAAGGATGGATTTAGAAGAAGAACTCAAAAGAGAGCGTGTGGACAACCTCAGGATATTTCGCTTAGCAGGTTTTTACAATAGGTCTTTCACTGCTCTTGAGCACTTTTGACTTTGAGACTGGCTAAATCTGTTTATGGCAGCCTGTCTCTGCGTCCCAAAGGTCAGTGAGCTTCACAGTGCCCTTCGCAGAGAACTTGTGTGGCATGTGGTCTACGTCCCCCGCCACCCCTCTGCCGTTTATGGTACAAAGCTGGCTAGAGAAATAGAAAGCAATGTTATTCCTACTAAAGTGTGTGCGCATGGGGGGGAGTGCAGAGTGTGTGTGGACGTGCGTGAGTGCGCGTCAGTGAGAGTGCAGCGTGAATGTGTGTGTGTTTTAAAGGACAGTGTTAATGCGATAAAGAGAGGATAGGTAGGATGCTTCACGTCTAAGATCCATATCGTTTTAGTTCTTTCAGAACTGCTATATATTGATTTTGACATGATTTGAAATGAGTTCTCAGTGAGCTCTATTTTTCTGGAACGTGCCGTCTTATCAATTTGTTTTTCAATTGCGTTGCGCGAACAACAGCCCTTAATGCGGGGTGTGAAGGTTTCATTGCAGCCTCAAAAGAGCCGAATTCCTCTTAGACCAGTTGTCCCTGGTGGAAAGAAAAGAAAAGAAAAAACATTTCAGAACTGATTGAGGTCACGATAACAAATCTTTGCTGGTAAAACTGTTCTCTTTTCATTCCATTTTAGCATAATTGCCTCTTTTCATGCTGAATTTTGAATATCATGTGACAACGTGGGGACAGTATAAACACTGTGTATGGCTCCTCTTTGCTCAGTGTTGTTTAATCTCAGCTTCACAATCGACTTTTCAGTGTTTTGAGTAAATACACTGATTTCTTTCTGCAAGCTACATGTGTATAATTAGTGTTTTAGACGCGGATTGTCTTTTTTCCAAGCCGACTCTTAACACACCCAGTGAAGGTCAAGTATGCAGCATAGAGCTGCACAACCGGTGCTACCTGCTTAAAGCTGTTTTATACATGATGGAAAATTCTCTGTCACCTGTTCAGGTTTGGTCAGCGTCTGCTCAGCGCACATGTAGTAAAGCTTGGCCTTACCCCACTAGATTACCGCTTCTATTTTGTGTGCAATTTCTGTGTTTAAAGATATGGGACCTGAGGAAAAAGCTGCAGCACAGTGAGCAAAGCAAACATTAGCACTAAGTGTTTAAGCAGGCATTTCAACGATATCTGAGTCTGTAGTGGAAGGCTCGGAGCTTC